GTTCCAAAATTGATTGTGGTGATGATTGTACACCTGTTTGATATGATAGCACTTGTATGTTATGTGCAAGAAGTGTCAATAAAACTTCAAAAAATGAGAAAAAAAAAAGAGCTATAAGAGCCCCCAATAAAATGATTTATAAAGAACAAAACAGTTGAATAACGAAATGTATCTAAGAGGGTGCTTCGAAAAGTTCATGGAAACATACTGCTGGTGGGACTGTAAACAGACGGTGTGGGAAGAGGTAAGGCACTTCCTCAAACAAATGGGGATAGAAAAACCCTATGGCCCAGCAGTCGCTCTACTTGGTGTAAAAAACTAACAAGCGAAAACAAGCTCACTGCCACCAACTTGGTGGCAACACATAATGATCCTACAGGACTGGGCAGCACTGCCCTGTGAGTTTCTGAGACTCATCATGCCTTGGAAGAAGTAAGATCTTTAGAGGCAAGGATGGCAAGGCTTCGTCTTACGTACTTTGGACATGTTGTCAGGAGACACCAGTCTCTGGAGAAGGACATCATGTTCGGGAAAGTGGAGGGGCAGCGAAAAAGAGGAAGGGCCTCAAGGAGATGGATGGACACAGTGGCTGCCACAGTGGGCGTAAGCACAGGCACAACTGTGAGGCTGGCACAGGGCTGGGCAGGGTTTCCTTCTACGGTGCATAAGGTCCCTACGGGTCAGAGCGGGCTCGATGGCACCTAACAATGTTAAATTAACTGCCACGCTCCCTGCTGCGTGTACATCAATAGAGGCTAGGATTTATAATACTTTGGATAACTACAGCAGATTACAAAATGGGAGGATAATTGCATTTTACTGAAAATACATGGCCTAGCCACCTTGGCATGTATTTGGGGGGAGAGGGGGGAGGGACGACAACGAGGGATATAGGAGTCCAGGGGTCCCTGGTGATGCAAACATATTCAACTGCGAACTCAAGGTTTGAATGTGTGGTCATTTGTTACAGCCGCTCTGGGAAACTAATACAGCATCCATACCTGGGATAAGATAAGATTTATTGATGTATAAATGATTAAAGAAGCAATACATGTAGAAAAAGCATTACATGAAAGTCAACATCCACTTATGATACAAGGCCATTATTTACAAAATAAAAACCTTCAGCAAATGAGGAATAGGATAGGCCTTCCTGAACCATATAAAAGGGCAAGATAAAGCTGTCTACTTCTGTAAAGATCTAAAGCCTCCGAAAGCCAATTGGACTGTTCTGCCCTGTCCTACAGGATCACTGAGTCAGAATCAAATCAATGGCAGTGAGATCAAAACAGTGATTTCAAACCGCATGGATAAACCTGGGAAATATTATGCTGACAAAAAAGGCAAATACAAAAGGAGAAATATGGTATGATTCCCACTTCAATATCTAGAAGGCCGAGAGACAGAAAGATTAGTGGTGATTGGGGGCTGGGGAGAACAAGGAATCGGGAGTTCTTGTTTAATGGCTGCAGTTTCGCTTTGAAAGATGACTATTTTGGGAACAAAGTGGTGATAGTTGCACAACATTTACGCCATGTGAAAGTGGCACATTCTATGTTATGTATATTTTACGATTAAAAGCCAAACCAATCTATAGCAAACATCATACTTAACAATAAAACCTAAGTCAGGAACCAGACAAAGCTGCCCCCCACCATCACCCCTGCTTCAATTCATCCCCAGGGCCCAGCACTGTTCACAGGCTCCTAGGATGGCCAAGGGGCAGGGGATGAACCAGGGGCGGGGAAGGCTGGAAGTCAGATGATCCAGAGAGAACAAAATGGACGAGAAGGTGCTCAGAGATGGCTGGTGTGATGTTCAAGGCTGGGACTGCGAGCTTCCTCAGTCTGCCAGGCCCCAGGCAGTCAGAGTCAAACACAGGACTGTGGAGGGAGCGTGGCTAGGCGCTGTTAAGCATGTTACCAGGGCCAGAGATGCATTCCTGGGACCCTATGTGGGCATCCCACCTCTCTCCCAAAGAGGACAGTTTCCCGTACCTATGAATATCTGCACACACCAGTATAAAAAAGGGATCTACTTTATTAAATAAACATCATTTCGGGGGGTGGGGGGTAGATGTAGTCCAGGGTGCCACACATCATCTTCCTCCTGGGGGTCAGGATATAGGGAGAGGGTGCAGGGGTCCCAGGGACAGGCAGCCTCTCCTTTCCCTGCCTGACAGCAGGGAGCCAAGGACAGTCGCTCCCCGCCCAGGGCCCCACCCACACATATAAATGGACACACAAACCAAGACACTGAGTAAATGACTGACAATTCAGGAGGCAGACTGGCGAGCAGACGGAGGCAGCACCCTCCGAGAGTTGGCTCGCACCCAAGGGTGGGCTGAGACCTGGGCCAAGGGCAGCCGTTCTGAAGGATTATGTTTGAGCAGCTTGGAGATGAGGTCTTGGGCTCCGGTGGGCACAGAAGGGGGGAACTTCAGGTCCACCTGCAGAGGGAGAGAAGGGAACTCGGCGTTTCAGCCCTGTTTCCATTTCCTTCATCGCCCACTCTATTCCGAGAACTGTGTAGGTCCCCTGGGTCTCACTCTTCCCACTCCCGGCCCACCCTCGTCCCGGCAAAGGGCATCAAGCCCACCTTGACGATCCGACGGTACGTCTCGTTGTGGGAAGCACTCTCAAAGGGCGGGTTTCCCACCAGCAGCTCGTAGCAAAGGACTCCGATACACCAAAGGTCCACCTTCTCATTGTGCGTGCGCCCTTCAATCATCTCGGGGGGCAGGTAGTCCAGGGTGCCACACATCGTCTTCCTCCTGGGGGTCAGGACATAGGGAGAGTGTGCAGGGGTCCCAGGGACAGGCAGCCTCTCCTTTCCCTGGCAGGGAGCCAAGAGTCCCTGGGGTGCTGACAGGCTTAGCACCCTGGGATCAGGGTGGGAGGAGGCTACACACCAAAGGCCGCCTGCAGTCTCTGAATCCCCTGAAAGATGCACCTTAGTAAAATAATCAGATATGAGGGCAGTGCGCATCCTGGCATTAAGGGAAAACTTGGGGGCACCTCCAATGTTTTATCAATACATGAAGTCAGATTCTCCTATGCAGCCTTTTAAGGCATTAAAAGTGACAGTGCAGGAGTGTTCTTCCTAATATGGAATGACAGCTCCCATATACGAATACTGGGGGGAAAGCTGGGAGTTTCCTATCTTTGCAGGAGTAGTCTGTGTGCACAAATCCTTCAAGTGCTCGCGGCTAGCCGAGAAGGAAAGGAGACCACCTCGAGGCAGGTACGTCTGAAGATCAGCATTGGAAAAATGCAGCCCCAAACCTGATGGAGCTCAGTGCTCTTCTGAGACCCTCTGGGGTCCCCTGAGCCACGGCTGATTCCACCACAACTGGTATATGGGCATGACCAATCCCAACCCACTGCCTCAGAGTGGGTCTTGACTCATTCGCCCTGTGTAAGGTTGTCAAGCCTGTGAATCTTCACCGGGCAGACCAAACTCACGGTCGAGTTGGCTGCAATTCAGAGGGACCCTATAGGACGGGGTAGAACTGTCCCTGTGGGTTTCTAAGACTAACTCCTTATGGGAGTAGAGTCTCATCTTTCTCCCACGGACTGCTGACCTGCGTGGGGCAGCCCACTGCAGAAGCCCTACACCTGCAGCACAGCTCCGCCCTCGTAGCAGTCGGTGGGTTTGAACCACCGACCTTGAGTGCCTAACCCAAGGCACCTCCAAGGTTCCTTAACAAACCCAAATATCTCGGGATAACAAGATTCTGGGTGGTTTTCTTTCCCACCCTGCATACCTCAAGGAGGGGGCGTGCACCGACCAGCCAAAGTCAGCAATCTTGAGCTCTCCCCGGAGCCCCAAGAGCAGATTCTCGGGCTTGATGTCCCTGTGGATCACCTTCTTCCCGTGGCAGTATAACAAGGCATCTGCCAGCTCCTCCATGATCTGCGGGGGCCCAGGACAGGTGGTCAGACAAGGCCGGCCCCCCCCCAGACCTGAGCCGTGCACCCCCAAATCGTGAGCCCCTGCAGGCGCCCCGGGTGCCCAACCGCCCGGACCGTGGCTGTTCGCTGCTCGTCAAAAGTGCGGCTCTTCTGCAGTTCCTTGTAGAGCTCCCCGCGCGGGGCATACTCCAGAATCAGGTAGACCCTCCGCCGGTCATAGAAGTAGTTGTAGAGACGCAGGATGTTGGGGTGCCTGCGGGGAAGCACAGGGGGGGCCCTCAGGCTGGGTCTTGCAGTGCAAAGATGGCAGGTCCCACCTGGGACAAATAGAGCCAGGCAGAGGGCACCAGCAGGCAGAACACAGCTGTGGATGGGTGAAGACTGGCCCAGTTGACAGCTACCTGGGCCCAGCGGCCGAGGAAGCAGCCTGGATGGGGTGGCGTGGAGAGAGGAGCTGGGGACTGGGCATGAGGGGCAGGGGGCTTTGCCGGGAAAGGGGGGAGGGGGGCGTACTGCAGATGGGCCTGGATTTCGATCTCCCTGCGCAGCTGGTGCTCCACACCCTCTTTCTCTATCTGCGACTTGAAGAGGACCTTCAGCGCCACGATGAACTGGCTCTTCTTCTCCCGGGCCAAGTACACGTTCCCAAACTTGCCCTTGCCCAGCGGCCGGCCGATCTCAAAGTCGTCAATTGTGAAGGACCGCCTGACAAGAGAGTAAGGGGAGGGGAGGCCACTCAACACCAGGGGTGATGAGTGTTTGCTGGTCTTAAAGTGTTGGCTTTCTCCTTATTCCCTCAGCCCATCCAGTTCTCCCTTCCCTTGGAAGGGAGCTGAGCACAGCCCAGGCCTGCCTGTCTGATAGCCGCCTGCCTGGCCTGGACCCCGTAGGGCAGGCTAGAACTGCCCCTGTGCGTTTCCAAGACAGTAACTCTTCTATGGGAGTAGACAGCCTCATCTTTCTCCCTGGGAGAGGCTGGTGGTTTCAAACTTCTGATCTTGCAGGTTAGCAGGTCGACGTGTTAACCATTATGCCACAGGGGTCTCAGCCCAGCCCTTGGACTTTATTGCTCCTATATTTTGCCTCCTCACTCACTATCCTTCCTCCTCTTCCACTCCAAGCCTTGGGGCACTTACATTAAGAGGCTGGGCGTCCCCTTGCTATTCTCCGCTGTCTTCTGACCAGGGGCAGCTAGGGAGAAAATAGGCAAGTTGAGACCCTCATTACTACCTCACTCGGCCGCCCTCCCAAAGGCTCCAGTCCCTTCAGGTCAATCCTCCCCTGTACGAGTTACCTGTCGGCAGGACATTGGAGCGGCTCATGAGGACAAGCCCAGAGGAGGTAGCAGGATCCTTCTGGAAGACTCTCTGGGGCAGGGTGCTCAGGCCAGATTGAGCCTGAGAAGGAGCAGAGGGGAGCTCTGAGGGCCCTTTGTCCTACTGACCAGGCAGGACTGTGCTGCGTGCAACACATCAACTACTTGCTGTGAAGCCACCCACCCACCCCCGGTTCTAAGAGAAATACGGATACCGCAGTTCTGCCACCCAGCCCCATGGCTCTGCTCAAAGCATCATATTCAAATGAGTTATTAATAAACAACCTAAGTTGGTCTTAGATAAGGGGTGAGGGCTTCACCCTAGAGCCTAACGTTTCATCAGTTTGGCCCTGGCCCTAATCACATTCTCAGGTATGAAGCTCTCTAGCTGTGACAGACCAGTCTATAACAACGTTCAGTCACCCAGGCCCCCACCCTTGGGGGGGGGCTACTGGATTGGGCCAATGAATACACCCACTCTAAGGAGTTTTAGCACAGAGGTTTTCTCACAGTCTCCCTCTAAAAGCTCAGTCTCAAAGCCATGGATAAGGTTCTTGAAACTTTGAATGTTGCAGCAGACACCAATATTGATCTTTTAACCGACAGGCTTTTCTAGTCACCCCTACATCCCCCATCCCCCCTTCAACTGCTCAGATTAATTTACACAGCTTTCTTTGGGGAGTGGCCAATGTAGAGGTGACAAAAGATTCTTATTTCGCCTCTGGGCTTGACAATGTCCAGGAGGGAGGGGGCTCATGGCCAGGGGACAGGTGGGCCCTCCAGGATGCCTAAGCTCTACCAGCAAGGGTACTAGGTCCTTGCAAGTTTTCTTCAGCCAAGAGAAGAAAACCCAAAAAGTAAAACCCACTGACTCATAGCGACCCCAGTGCCCTCAAAAATCTGTCCCAAGGTGGCAACAAGTTCAAGAAAATACACCCACATAAACGTGGGAAATTATATCTTCAATAAAACAAATACATACTAAATATATAACAAATACATCAGATGTATTTCAAAGCAATGAAGATCAGCATTGGAAAAATGCAGCCCCAAACCTGACGGAGCTCAGTGCTCTTCTGAGACCCTCTGGGGTCCCCTGAGCCACGGCTGATTCCACCACAACTGGTATATGGGCATGACCAATCCCAACCCACT